TCACCAGCTCCTTCCACGCCTGCCCACACTCCCTGCTCTCTGCATCCGACCAGCAGCCACTGAGGTAAAGAATGAGTCGGTGTGCTGGTTAAATAGACTTTAAAGCCGCCGGGATGCGAGCCAGGGCGGGGGCTGTGACCTTGACGACGGAGTGGCATCCAGACCTGTGCGTCGGCATGAAGGAGTCAGGGTTCTCAGCGAAGTTGTGACTGTGACGACAATCTTCCTGCCAGCAGGGGACGGGCAAGGGTGCCCACCTGTGAACCACGCGGAAGGGAAAACCAGCCCTCCTGCTAACAGGAACGCTCTTCTCAGTACAGGACAAGTGAACAAAAAAGTAAGAAAATAGAATTAAACGTAGTCAGTAAGGCAGCTCCTACGGCGAACACACAGGCATAAGCACGTCACACCTTAAATCCTGACAATAACACAGCTTCTCAGGTGCACACGAAATACAGAATTCACGCTTGGTCACAAGGAAGCAGCAGGTCCCACAGAGCGGAAACGTTACAGTCACCCCGTAATCAAGCTAGAAGATACTGACATTTTAAAAAGACTCAAACACGGAAATCCAAGTATCTCCTGCTAAATACTTGTGGCTAAGGGATAAACTACAACCCAAACTGTGGAGTCTGAACAATAGATAATCAAAGCCCTCATTTTGGATTCTCTGGGGATATTAAATCCTGGCTGGAAGAAGCTGAGAGCCCAAACTCGTCAGTGGAACAGGAAGGGAGAGCCGGCTCTGAGCTGGGGGAGATGGACAGCAGGGAAATGCAGCAAAGGGGAGAAATAAAATACCAGTTCTTCCATTAAATGTGAAATATTTACTTATTTTTTAAAGATTTATTTATTTAGCACCCACACTTCTCACCTGGAGCAGGTGTGCACACCCTGTGGTCTCCCTGGAGCAGGTGTACACACCCTGTGGTCTCCCTGGAGCAGGTGTGCACACTCTGTGGTCTCCCTGGGACAGGTGTGCACACCTTGTGGTCTCCCTGGAGCAGGTGTGCACATCCTGTGGTCTCCCTGGGGTAGGTGTGCACACCCTGTGGTCTCCCTGGGGCAGGTGTGCACACCCTGTGGTCTCCCTGGAGCAGATGTTCACACCCTGTGGTCTCCCCTGGAGCAGGTGTACACACCCTGTGGTCTCTCTTTGGTAGGTGTGCACACCCTGTGGTCTCCCCTGGGGCAGGTGTGCACACCCTGTGGTCTCCCTGGGGCAGGCGTGCACACCCTGTGTTCTCTCTGGGGTAGTTGTGCACACCCTGTGGTCTCCCCTGGGGCAGGTGTGCACACCCTGATGTCTCCCCTGGGGCAGGTGTGCACACCCTGTGGTCTCTCCTGGAGCAGGCGTGCACACCCTGTGTTCTCTCTGGGGTAGTTGTGCACACCCTGTGATCTCCCCTGGAGCAGGCGTGCACATTCTGTGGTCTCCCTGGGGCAGGTGTGCACACCCTGGGGTCTCCGTGGAGCAGGCGTGCACACCCTGTGGTCTCTCTGTGGTAGGTGTGCACACCCTGTGGTCTCCCCTAGAGCAGGTCTGCACACCCTGTGGTCTCCCTGGAGGAGGTGTCCATTTCTCACTCTTCTCACCCAGTGGTGGTTGTGCAGTAAAAGAGCCCCTGATTTCCTAGGAAGTGAGTGTGCCCCCTGCCCACTACCCAACTGTCCACTATGGAGAGGCTATTTGCACACGGATCTGCCCACATCCACTCAAAGACCACAGATGGCTGCTCGTGGCAGCGTCCTGCATGGGGCAAGCACTGGACACAGCCCAGACCCCAGCAGCTGGTGAGTGGACAGATCAGGGGAGGACTGACTCGGCAGTGGGAAGGAGTGAGGTCCCGTCCCGTTCCCATCCCGTTCCCATCTCGTTCCCACCCTGTTCCCACCCAGTTCCCGTCCCGTTCCCAGCCTGAGCTGCCTGCCCAGTGAAGGGGTAGGGCTCTGCTCCACGCTCTGTGGTTAAACCCGCGAGGTCTGCGGGAGGTGAAGGAAACCAGACCCGCAGCTCTGCAGGGAAGATGCTGGAGGCCAAAGGGCACCAAGGGCTTTGCTGAGAGACAGAGATCGAGATGGACATGACGGACAGGTGGTGCACAGACGGATGGGTGATGGGTAGATGATAGACAGACGACGGATACACAGACAGACAGGCAGATGATAGATGGGTGGTAGATGACAGATCGCTGGATGGATGATAGACAGAGATGATAGATGACTGATGACAGGTAGATGATAGATCGCTGGACGGATGGAGGGGAGGTAGATGGGTAGAGATCTCCCACTCCAGCCGTCACTCGTACTCATGTGACCCCCCCCCCACTGCCGTGGCAGAGAGCCAGCGCCAGGGGCTGGAGCTCAGTGGACCCAGGTCCCCGGACACGGCCGGGTGCTCTCCTGGCCTCCTCACTGCGGGCCGGACATCTGCCCCAGAGGGGATCCTTGTGCGGGGGCGGCGGTGGGGAGACCCGCGACCTAGAACTTCACGCAGCAGGGCTCCCCAAACCGCGCGCCTGTCACACCTGGCTGAACTGAGCTGTTAAGATGGGTAACCCTGCACACGCTGGTTCTCACACATCTCAAGCGTGCGCATCACCGCTGGCCGCGTTCCCTGTGCGGAGCCGGGAGCTGCCCCGGACACAGGGCTGCGACCCCCGCCCTGCTCGGTGTGCGCAGTACCTGGGGAACCCACGCCCACCACCCGGCACCCAGGCTGCCCGTGGTGGTGCGGTGGTGTGTCTGTGCCCAGGTAGGCCGGCAGAGGGCGCCGGAGAGTGATCCCCGCGGAGGTTGGGGTCCACCTAGGGTCGGTCCTCCCCAAGCCGCACTCCCACCCGTGCCGCCTGGAGGCTGAGCATCCCGGGTACTCCTCGGATCGCAGGAAATGACCGCGGAGCCCGCCAACCGCCGAGCCCAGAGCGCTCCCAGCGGTCAGCAGATCCGGCCTGAGCGGCCAAGGGCTGGGCAGGAGTGGGCAGGGGCTGGGCGGCCCCTCTGGCGCTCCTGGAGCCGGGGAACCCCCTCGAGTGTGCGCAGGAGGGAGACGCGCGTGGAGGTGGGTGGGGTGGGTGGCAGACAGCTCTACCGCGTGGACACAGGTGGACATCGGGCTGACCCGTGCTCCTGGGTGTGCAGCCGCCAGAGCCAAGAGTCGAAGGGGTGCAGCTCCCAGGCCGAGAGGAGCGGCGAGCCGCAGCCCCCGGCGCCCGTTCTGTCCCCCGCAGCTGAGTGTGGCCCCGCCGTCCCCCGCCGTGGCCAGGCTGAGCTGCGCCCGGCGTGCGAGGGGTGACCCCGGGGTGCAAGGCGCGTCCTCCGGCCTCGCAGCAGGAGGCTGTCTGGGCCGCGCTGTTGGCGGGAGACCCACGGGGGAGAGCCGCTGGGTGGGTCGACTGGGAACCCCAGCACCCCGCACTTCGTCGCGGTGGGCGCAGGTGCGGCCGGCGCCCGCAGGCACCTGACCACGACCCCCTCCAGGAGTCAGCCACGCGCGTGCAGGACTTAGGGCAGGCAGCGGCTCTGCGGAACCGAGCCACGGGTCACGGGGAGCAGCCGTGCGGGACGGGTCAACGTCCCCACCTGCCCGCGGGCGGTCCACGGGAGGCGGAGGCCCGCGCGGCAGCAGCGCCCCCTGGTGGCGCCCGCGTGCAAGGGCACCGCACCTGCGCCGTCCCCAGTTCCCACAGGGCCCCGCCAGGAAAGACTTTGCCCAAGGTCCACCCCCAAGTTCCGCCCTGTCGTCCCCTCACCCTGTCCCCAGATGGCTCAAGGCGCCTTTGTCACCTGAGCTCACGTGGCAGAGGCCGGCGCAGGTGGATTGAGGGCTCCACCCCCCCACACACACCCCTGCGCTTGGGACCCTGTGTGGGGACCGTGGGTGCCTCTGGGGTTTCCGGGGGCAGGGGAGGTCCCAGCCAAGGAGGAAGGGGAAACGGAACACGGGGTGAGGAGCCAGAGAGGGGTGGGTTTAAGCCTCCAGAAACCCCCGAAGGAGAAGGGGAGGGGACGGCATCTCCCGAGCGCCCCTGAGTCCGGTCAGGACAGCCCCAGAGCCCCCAGCCCGCGTCCCGCGCTGCCGCCCTCGGTCCTAGGAGGGGGCAGAGTCTCCGAAGAGGAGGAGGAGGGGTGCCGCTGGGAGCCCAGGTGGGAGGGCGCCCAGAGCCACCCGCGGGAGGCCACCGCGCCCCGCGGAAACATGCAAACATGCGGAGCGACCCCGGGCCGGACCCTCGTGGGCGCGGAGGAACAAAGGGAGGCGCGCGGTACCCTCCCGCAATGGGCTGAGTCCCCTGGAGCCCTGCCTCCCGCCGGCTGGGTGAAGACGCCGCGGGAATCCTGTGCCGGCTGCGGCCCCTCTCAGAGCGCAGGACTGGGAGGGAGGCAGCACCCCCCACCCGCCCTTGGTTTCAGCCCCCGGGCCAGGTCAGCTCTGGCCCTCCCCGCCCTGGGAGGAGGCTGGGGCTTTCTGATGTGGCCGCGGGTCGAGCCTTTGTGGCAGCGGCTTGCAGGTGTGGACTTGGGGACCTCGGGGCCGGTCGACGCTACACCCCAGCCCTGAGCTGGACCAGGCCCCATGGCCCCACAGGGTCCCCGGGCGTTGGTCGCCCGCAGCCTGCACTTCGGTCGCAGCTGTCTCCAACAGCCTCAGGGACCTCTGCATTGCAACCAGAAACCCGGAGCCCCACGGGGCCCTTGGAGCCTTCGGCCGCTGAGATTCCTAATGTGTGCACAGGGGCCCAAATATACACCATGCACACGCATGCACACACTCACAGAGATGGACACTCATGCACACACTTACAGATGCACACACAGTTAAAGAGATGCACACACACTTACATAGATGCACACACTTACATGTGCACACACTTACATAGATGCACACACGCACAGATGCACACACACCCACACTTGTACAGATGCACACACTCACACATGCACACACACCACACACACTACCATCACCTCTGTGCCAATGAAACCAGAGTGAAATGTAGCAGATTTTAAAATTTTTCTCTATTTGAAGACGTCATACCACTGAAAGGCATAAGACAGAACAGGGGTTCAGGAGCCGTGGAGCCGACCGGATGCGGGGTTCGCTCCGGTGTCTCGGGACATCGAGAGCCGGTCGGGGTCTCGGCAGCCGGGCCTCAGTAATGGCAGTCTAGGGTGGAAAGCAACACGGTCAGCACGGAGGGGAGGGGCTGGGCCCCTGGGCTGACAGGTGTGGGGACAGAGGCCACCAGCCGGAAGGAGCTCTGTGAGGCCACTCCCCCAACAGGCGGCTGTTTCCCAGGGAGACCTTCAGGTCCCAGGAAAAACCACTCCCATGATTCCTGCGGTGCCTTGGGGGCACCCGGATCCCACAGACAGGGGCGTGGCGCACACCACACACAGGCACACGCTCTGCCTGCGTTTTGGAGGTGGCTGGTCTTCTCCTTCCACTGCCAAACTGTGTCGGGAACCCACGACTACTGAGGGACGGGCAGGTGGACAGGTGCACACCTGGGGACGGGGCTCTCCCAAGACCCACTCCAGGTGACACGTGTGCACCTGGGGGAGGGGCTGAGGCCAGAGCGGCCGGACCAAGCCTGCTTCTTTCCAGCCCAGCCCTGGAGCCCGGCACAGCCCAGCGCACTAGCACTTGGCGGCATCCAGATATGGTAATGGAATTGCAACAAAATAGGCAACGCCGCCGGCTCTGCAGAGACCCGGGGCGGGGCTGCGGAGGCGCTGCTGTGTCCACACCGTCAGACGCCGAGTTGGGCAGTGCGGGTGCAGCGCGCAGGCTGGGGCTGCTGTCACTGTGGGCCACGTGCTGACCCTGCTTTCTGGGCTGGCCACACAGCACACGCTTATCCCCCGCGTTGAGGGCCCCGAGCCGCCACCTCGGAGACACCAGCTGTGTCCGGGAGCCAGCGGGGCCCGTCCTGTGCGGACTTTACCTTCCACGGATTGCGGGTAGAAACACCAGGGCACCTGCGGGGTGGTGTTGGAGAAGCAGCAGTTGCGGGCGGCGCAGAGGTCGGAGCTGATGCCCGGGTAGCCGCAGTTCTTGCGAGCCGAGACTTCCATGACACACTGCTCCGAATCTGGCCACAGGAAGGAGTGACAAGCAGACTCCGTTAGGCCGGCAGCCTCGGGAACACCCTCATTCCCAGCCTCCCGCCGGGAACGTGCTGGGCTCCCAGCCTCGGTTATCCTGGGGGGCTGCGTGGAGGTGGCATTGCTTGGGGCTAAGACACCCAGAGACTGCTAAGGGCCAGCGCCCGTGGTCAGCTGGCCGGCCCTCCCTGGAGGAGTGACCCAGCGGCTGGGGTCTCCACCAGTCAGATCCGCTGGGCGGGGCCCTGGAAAGTTCGCTCTGTCTCTCTCCAGACTCAATGCTCTCGCAGGAGAAGAGGTTCGGGAACAGTTTTAGGCCATGAAGCATTTCGTCAACGTGCTGATGCCCAGATGGCGCCTCTCAGTGGACGGCCCTCGCTGGGGCCTTCCTGGCTGCCCGTCAGAGCGCAGGAGCTGCTGAACCGCGTGCGGGGCAAAGATCGCTCGGGGGGGGGGGGGTGTGGCCGGGAGGATCCCGCCGAGGTCTGTGCACGCTCCAGGCATCAAGGCGTTGCGCCTCGGGATGAAGCCCACCCTCCAGACGACCTCGGGGTGCTAGTTCACTTCCTTCTCCTTTGGGGACGGCCAGCGGTGGTGTCCCCAAGGCCCTGCCTGCACCCCAGGAGCCCCCTTCAGCCCCACATCGGGAGCTGGAGGGGCCCTGGGGTTCCCGCTCTCACCGACAGCGAGCCCGCGGGTTCACACAAGTCTGGGGAGCACAGCGGCTGTGGGCGTGCGGCTGGGGGAGTCGCCTCCTCTCGGCTGGCCGGGCTAGCTCCAGACTAACCCTGGGCTAGCTCCAGACTAACCAACAGACCCGGGCTCGCTCTGGCCCAGTGGCCGAGAACCTGCTCTGGTTCCTTCCTGGGGAGCAGGTGCCGGGCTCCTGGCCAGCAGCCCGGGAAGAGGGCCCAGCTCCCCCCAAGGTCACCTTGCGCCGGCAGTGGATGGAAGCACCAGGGGACCCCGACGACGCTGGAGTCGAAGCAGCAGCCGCCTTCGAAGCACTGCTCGCTGGTGATGCCGGGGAAGCCACAGTTCTTCCTGTTCTTGGGCTCCAGCCTCGAGCAGCGGCAGGCAGCTGCGGGGAGACCTCCCTCAGCCCCGCTCAGAGCCCCTGGGCTCAGGGGATCCAAGGGACCCCGCCCGTGTCCTGTTGCCACCAGGGCCACCCAGAGCCTTGTCTGGCTGTGTTTGCGTGTGCTGTTTCCTCCCGAGGAGCTCACTGGCCTTTGCCAAACATCTGGTTCCTTTAAGGGGGGGGGGGGGTACAGATGGATGCAGGCAAAGTCCAGGGTGAAGGTGGCAAACGGCCTCTCCGAGGGCCTGGGTGGGCTGACCCTGGGCCCTGCAGAGCCTCGGTCCCCCTTCCCCACCCACTCCCAGCCATTGGGGCCGAAGACCCCACCCCATCTCCAATCTCAGGATGCCGCTGTAGCTACTCCCCACCTGCCCCCCACCCCCGAAGCTGCACCTGCCTTCTCCCTTCAGAGGAGACCCGGAGGGAGTAGACGCGGGGTTGGGTTGGGGGCTGCAGAAAGCGAGGGCCTCACTCCCACCCTCACACCCGGGGCACACACTCCGGGCTCCCTGGCCCGCATGCCCCGTTGCAGAGACGGGAGATGCGGCCCAGAGGTCCACTTACCAGGTTTCTCGGCGCTGGCCAGGGCACACAGCCCCGGGAGGAGAAGCATTGCCAGGAGCCAGGGGCCTCGGGTGTCCATGTCCGTGGCCGGCTGCGCCGAGGGCGACCTGGAGAATGTGCGGCTGCCTCTGCCGGGGGTGCTCTTATAATCTCCCCTGTTTGCCCAGCGAGCCCAGATGGCTTCCACCGCCCCACCCATGACCCCCGCCCGGGACCCTTTGTTAGGAGCTGAGCTAGGTCCACACGGAGAAGAGGAGCCAGAGGCTGTTGTGCCCAGTGCGGGCGGGCGAGGCCCTCGGCTGGGGGCCGGGCGGCCGCGCGACGTGGCTGCCCCCAGCCCCGAGCAGGGAGCCGGGAGGTGCCGGGCTGCTGACGTGGGCAGAGGGCCACGTGCGTGGCTGGCACTGGGCACACCCCGGGTCACACCCAGGAAGGGATTAGCTGTGTGTTTGTCCCGGGACTTTACGTGGCTACCGCAGGAATGTTTTTACATGTTACCGCTGAGACTTCATGAGCAGTTAGAGGGGAGCACAGAGGAGACCCCTCCCCAGAGGGGGAGGGCGGGAGAGCTCCCCCAGGTGCTGGGTCAGCAGTGCAGAGACCCCCGTGTGTCCCCCCGTCCCGTCTCACAGGGACGAGGTGGACGAGGAAGGTGGGCAGCCCGCGATGGCCGTGTTGAATCAGTACATGTGCAGCAACCCCGAGACCGGGCAGTCTCCCCCCGCCAGGGAGACTCTTCGCACCTCCTCAGGTAGGGCCTCGGACCCTGGCCCTGCCCCGGCAGGGACGCCCTGGACAGGGAGGGGATGGGAGCCGGGGCAGACGCCCCGGAAGGGAAAAGGGAGGTGCTGAGGACCCTAAGACTTCTGCCACCAGGGAACCCCGCAGCGCTGCCCGGCTGTCGCCGCGGGGTGGAGCAGTGACCCAAAGAGGCACAGGACCCAGACCCTGGCCTGCCAGCAAGCGCCATTGATGGGATCAAGAGAGCGGGCTTTGTGCGGTCCCCTGTGGACCCCGCAGGGCAGCCCCGAGACGGCCGGTTTCCGTCCCGCACCCCTGTCACCCTCAGTGCCACCAAGCCCCAGGTGGCCCAGCCCTCCGTTCTCTCCCCTGCCCCCTCCTGCTCCCAGGTCTGAGAGCTCCCCTTGCCCCCACCAGGGTTTCCTGGCCCCGCCCAGGCCCCGCGCCCTCCCCGGCCTCGGCAGAAGCTGCGTTCTTGGAGAGATGCTCTGCCACACGTGGCCGGGGCGGGGGAGGGGCGCCGGCTCCCACCACGCTCGCCCTGGGCGTTTGTGGAGATTCGAGGAACTTCCGGGGAAGCGGCTTCCGCCCGCTGGGGGTCACTGTGGCACGCGGTCCTCTAGGGGGCCGTGGAAGACTGGAACCGAAGAGGCGCCTGTCTGGGCGAAAGCATTCCTTAAACCGCGCGGTTTCCACGATGCTCCACCCGCCCGAGTTTCCGGAGGCTCCCTGCCTGCACGGATTTCAGAAGCGTTTGCACCAAAATCAAAGCATCTTCATTTCCAGGCTTCCCGGGACCCTCTGAAGTCGCCTCCTACGTCCCCGACGTGAGCAGCGCCCTGCCGGAACGCAGAGCTGTGCACCGTGCAGACCCTGCACGGCTGAGCCTGGCCGAGCTCCTGCCGCCGGGCTCAGGCCTGGGCTGGGCCTTGGCCTCCCTGCTGTCCTAACACCTCCACACCCCCCTGGAGGCGCCCCCGGAGGTGCCAGCTTCGAACACGCCCCTCTGGTGCCCCGGCACCCTCAGCACTCCAGAGGGCGTCTCCCCGATCCACAGCCGCTCGCGTGTCCGGGAGCGTCCGTTCCCACTGCATCCTGCCACTCCTGGCAGACGGCCCCATTCAGAGCTCAAGCTCCGTCTAGATGCAAACGGTCCCTTCTGCCCAGGACGCCGTGAGCACCACGTGAGCACCACGCATTCCCTCTGCCCAGGACGCCGTGAGCACCACGTGAGCACCACGCATTCCCTGTTGCTCCGCCACGATGCCCCGCTGAGCACCAGCCTGCGCCTCCGTCCTTGCCGCTGGCTCCTTGTCCGGCCTGATTTCCGCAGTGTCCACTTCTCCCAGCAGCCGGGCTGCCCACTTCCGACGTCTGCACCTCCACCCGCTGCCCGGGGTGGCTAATGCCCACCACTGGTCCCACCGCCATGAGTGCAGGCGCGGGACCCACCCGCCCCCATCACCCGCCCTCCGTCACCCGCCCCCATCACCCGCCCCCATCACCCGCCCTCTGTCACCCGCCCCCCGTCACCCACCCCCCGTCACCCGCCCCCGTCACCCGCCCTCCGTCACCCGCCCCCCCATCACCAGCCCCCCATCACCCGCCCTCCGTCACCCGCCCCCCCATCACCCGCCCTCTGTCACCCGCCCCCCGTCACCCGCCCCCCATCACCCGCCCTCTGTCACCCGCCCCCCGTCACCCGCCCCCCATCACCTGCCCATCACCCGCCCCCGTCACCCGCCCCCCCATCACCCGCCCCCGTCACCCGCCCCCCCATCACCCGCCCCCCGTCACCCGCCCCCCATCACCCGCCCATCACCCGCCCCCCGTCACCCGCCCATCACCCGCCCCCCGTCACCCGCCCCCCATCACCCGCCCTCTGTCACCCGCCCCCCGTCACCCGCCCCCCGTCACCCGCCCCCCGTCACCCGCCCCCCATCACCCGCCCCCCGTCACCCGCCCCCCATCACCCGCCCCCTGTCACCTGCCCCCCGTCACCCGCCCCCCGTCACCCGCCCTCTGTCACCCACCCCCCGTCACCCCGCCCCCCCATCACCCGCCCCCCGTCACCCGCCCTCCGTCACCCGCCCCCCCATCACCCGCCCTCTGTCACCCCGCCCCCCGTCACCCGCCCCCCATCACCCGCCCCTCGTCACCACGCCCCCCATCACCCGCCCTCTGTCACCCGCCCCCCGTCACCCGCCCCCGTCACCCGCCCCCCGTCACCCGCCCCCCGTCACCCGCCCCCATCACCCGCCCCCCATCACCCGCCCATCACCCGCCCCCCGTCACCCGCCCCCATCACCCGCCCCCCATCACCCGCCCCCCGTCACCCGCCCTCCGTCACCCGCCCCCCCATCACCCGCCCCCGTCACCCGCCCCCCATCACCCGCCCCCCGTCACCCGCCCCCCATCACCCGCCCCCCATCACCCGCCCTCTGTCACCCGCCCCCCATCACCCGCCCCCCCATCACCCGCCCCCCATCACCCGCCCTCCGTCACCCGCCCCCCATCACCCGCCCTCTGTCACCCGCCCCCCGTCACCCGCCCTCTGTCACCCCGCCCCCCGTCACCCGCCCCCATCACCCGCCCTCTGTCACCCGCCCCCCATCACCCGCCCCCCCATCACCCGCCCCCCGTCACCCGCCCTCCGTCACCCGCCCCCCCATCACCCGCCCCCGTCACCCGCCCCCGTCACCCGCCCTCCGTGGAGGCACCCTGTCACCCGCCCTCTGTCACCCGCCCCCGTCACCCGCCCTCCGTGGAGGTGCCCTGTGTTTCTCTCCCTCCGCCCCCTTCCCTGCCGCGGTGCCCGCCCTGCAGTGGCGCTGCCCATCCATTCGCAGGAAAACTGGGATGCGAGCCAGCTCCCCCGCTCCCCAGCTCCCCGCTGTGTCGCTTTGTCTGACTGCGGAGTCCCTGCGGCCACAGCGGCACCCTCACCCTGAGTGCCCACAGATGCTGGACAGCTGGCAGTGTAGACAGCGGCCATTGAGAAGGAACTCAGCGAGGAGGGTCCCCTGCCCGCCCTGGTTTCCTACCTGGAGATACCCTGCAGGGGACAGCATGGAGAGGGGACACAGAGCCGTGAGTTGGAAGCAACGGGGGTGGCCGGAGTTTTATGGGAAGAGAAGGGAGTTCCAGAAATGTGAATGGGAGCCCCTTGAGTTTTTAGTCAAATACAGAGTTCCCAGGCCCACCAGGCCGGGCCAAACCATTCCCAGGGGAAGAAGAATCACTGCTGTGGAACCGAGTGGCTCCCCCGGAGTCCCGAGCGGCCGGTGGGGGAGGCTGGCCGACCACCTCGGGTGTGGAGGGAAGGCACCTGTGACCCCTGCCGGGGAGGCTGTGGAGCAGGTCCTGAGAGGACCAAGGTGACCTTCAAGCACCTTCCCTGCCTCTGTCCATCCACGGGGGCCGCCCAGGGCCACCCGGGCCCAGTGCGTTTTCTCCCGGCTCTGAGTGCAGGCGCCCGGGACTGGTGTGGGCAGCTGGCTCCTCCCAAGACCCCTCCTCGGCTTGCAGACACCGTCTTCTCCCTGTGTCGTCACACGGCCGTCCCTCTGTGCACAGCGCCCCCTGTAGGACAGCAGTCAGCCCCGGTGTCACCCAAGTACCCCTTTGGAGCCTCCGTCTCTGAACACAGGCCCACTCGGAGGGCTGGAGGCTAGGGTTCAGCTCGTGAGTTTGCAGGGACCGGGCTTAGCCGGCAGCACCACGGACAGATGAAGGTCAGCACTGCACCAGGGGAGACACGACCGGGCGACAGACAAGACCCGGCGACGGCACAGCGGCTGGGTGCTCGGCGTGAAGTCGCCGGCTTCTAGGCGCCCAGAGCAGCCGGCAGGCGCGTCCGACAACCATCAGGAACACCCGCGAGAGGAAACAGGCCCGGGAAAAATGTTCACAAAGATTCAAAGAAAACCCAAAATAGACGGCGCGAAAAGGAACCTCAGCAGAGAGACGGAAACTGAAAGTGAACCAAGGGAGAGTTCTAGGGGTGGGAGAGACGGCGTCTGGAACCACAGGTTCCCTCTAAGGGCTTTGGGTCAGGTCCTGAATATTAGGTTCTGCGGAAGACAAGCTGGCTCGCCGGAAGCCAGTGCAACACAAACGGTCCTAAACTAGTGCATTCAGAAAAAAGGTGGCCAAGAAAGCAAACAGGATTCCAATGGCTGGGCCAGCACTGTGGAGCAGTGGCCTGCGCCACGGGGTGACAGCGTCCCCTGTGCACACATTGGTTTGCGTCCTGCCTGCTCTGCTTTCCACCCAGGCCCCTGCTCACACGGCTGGGAAAGCAGCAGAAGACGGTCCAAGGGCTTGGGCCCCTGCACCCACGTGGGAGACGTGAAAGAAGCTCCTGGCTCCTGGCTCCTGGCTCCAGTCTGGTCCAGTCCTGGCCATTGTGGCCATCTGGGGAGTAAACCAGCGGATGGAAAATCAATGCCCCCCTTTCCTTCCCCACTCTCTCTCTCTCTCTCTCTCTCTCTCTCTCTCTGTCAGATAAATTGTCACAGACACCCGGGCAGGGAAAGCCCCTTCAATCAAACAGGCCCCGGAGACCGCGGGGGATCAGGCAGTTGATCACGCCTGCGGGCTCAGCGGGGCCCATTTCCCGAGAGCCGAGCCACACTCAAGTGTCTCCCGCCGTTTCTCGGTTCATCAGCATCGCACCTTGGCCGTCACGGCCCTGCTGGGCGCAAATCACAGCCCGCGTGACTCAGGACCACACTCCCAGGGGCCAGTGGGCCTGGTGTGCTTGTAGAAGGACCACACTCCCAGGGGCAGAGTCCCGGGACAGACTGCTGACTGGAGTGACAGAAGCAGAGCCTAGGGGCATCGTCCCTTCCCGGACAGGACCGCAGCGGGCAGCTGCCTCACGAGGTCTGTGTGGGAGGAGGGGTCGCCCTTCTTTCTTTGCCTCTGGTTGTGGCC